TATTATGTGATCCTTAAGATTCCATTACAGAATATGAAAAACGTGTCTACTAACTATAAATATTAATTTAATTTCTTTAAATTCACATTCCTGCTTTTTACTATAATTCAGGTCTATTTAAGAAATCCATAACTAGAAACATTCGAGATTTATGGAATAAAATCAGAAAATGAGTAATGAAAGATTGTAAATCAAATTTCCATGCAATTTGATAATTATTTCACTCACATTTGATAAATAGAAATCAGATTTTGGAAGATGAGTAGATAGTACTCACAATAACATCTAGCAATTTTTAGACCCTAATTCATTCAGAAGTTATTTTCTCCAGTATGCTGAACATTAAACAAAAAGAAGGAAGGCAAATGTGAGATGCTACTTGTGGTAGAATTTTGTAGTTTAAGCATGCTTCACAAGAAAAATTTCAGGACAACTGACATTGCAGTTTTATTTTTTTGTACATAGGACAGAGTCTACAGGGTCTCACTATGTAGATCAGACTCACAGTGATTCTCCTGTTTTCAGTCTCCCAAACACTGGGATTATAGGCGTGCACCACCATGCCCAGTCCCAATCACCAAATGAGCAAGCTCCATGGGTGGGGCTGCATGGAATACCAGGGATCGACCCAGCCCCTGAGCTCAACATTGCAGTTTTAAATACAGTTTTCTCGGTGGTTTACTAAGACGTTGGTACCAACTTGACATTATGGACCCTGACATGTTTATGGCATGGATCCATGTAAGCAGCCATTCTGGATTGCTTAAAAGCTATCACTGTGGCTGAAATTAAATAAAAGAGCTATTAAAATGTTGCTCAACTCACTAGGATTACTCTTTGTTAAGTTTCTCAGTTCAGCACCCTGTTATTTGCATCATCAAAATATACAGAATGTTGAGCCAAGGCATATGAGAAGGGAGAAGGTCATAGCTGATCTATTGTTCTCTAAAAATATTTGATATTAATGCAAAAATAATTTGATATAATATTAATAATCTATAATTTAATACTTTAGTTCAGTTGCTAAGATTTATTAAAGAACAATAATTCTGAAATCAACATCTCTGCTCTTAAACACCTATAAATGCAGTTTAAACCTGTTTTAATCAAGGGCAATATAATATTATTGGTAAATAAAGGAGAATTAATTATCCCCTTAACATTGTGAAAATATTATACTTTTAGTGAATATATATGCTAGTGTTGGTTGTTACTGTCATTAGGGTTATGAAGATTTTATCAAAATTACATAACAATATTTTATATGCATAATCCTAAAGAAATTTATTTTTTCTATGTACTACATCCATAGTGAAGACCAACTTTACAATGACATTGCATGTCATATCTTTTTTTCTCATTATTTGATTCAAAGTCATGAAAATTATGCTATCCTGCTGAGGCAAGCTTAGGCAAATGTGCAAGGACCGAGATTTGACCCTGAGCACCACATTTTGTACCAGCCTCACCTCCAGGTTGGCTGAGCCAGCCACAAATAACAAAACAAAACAAAACCAAAAAATCATGCTATTACATGAATATATAACATCTGAAAACACACACTATTTCTCTTGCCTTTATAAAGGAGTAACTATAAATCAAATAGTAGAAGATTCTGTTCTGAAGAGTGATTCTGAGACTTTTTTAAGAAAGCTCTTGCTTTTCCTTGAAGGAGTCTGAACTCTGGGGATGGGATGCTTTCTTTAACTACCTCTCAACAATAATCACATTCCTTTCTTTCAGCTTTATTCTAAGAAGAGAAATTTGTAGAATAAACGTGAGTTCATTAATCTCCAAAAATTATGATGGCTATGAAAGATCATAATCACAGACTTTGTGGTGAATTCTCACAATAAATGTTTCTTATTATGTCAATTTAACACAAAACCTGGAACTCCATAATTTCACAAAAGTATTTGTCCAACTGATGTTTTTACCTTGCTTTAAAAGATTTATATTAGCTTGTTTATACCTGAGCTGCCTAAACATATAACATATTTGCTGGGCACTTATTGGATTAAAATGATTTGATTTCATATTCAGAGAGTGAGTCTGGGATAACATTAGTGCAGTGGAGTTCTTCACTACCTGCATTACACTCATTTCTGTGAACTGAAGTAATGGAAGGTAGGTTTACAGACAGAGAATGGCATGGAGAAAGGGAAAGGACATTTCTTTTGCTGAAAACTCACACATAATTTTAATGATAAATTAGGAGAAGTGATTAATGGTAAGGCAGATTTTCTTGGCTCTTCTGTAGTAGAAATAAACTCCTGAAAAAGTATTTCAGCCTGCTATATTGACAGAATTGACTAAACTTTTCTCATTTCAATTGATAGATTGGTTGATGTTAGAATGGTTTTACACAGAGAATTAAAAATACTTGACATTTTGGTCTATAATTTTGTATTGATTTGTGTTGATCTATTTTTTTAAATATCACCAAGGAGTATCAAAATTAAGTGCTATAATCATGGTTATGCCATTAAACAAAACCGAGAAAGGAAAGAAACTTTAAGAAAAAACAAAAGAGGGTGACAATCATTTCTTTATGTAACAGAAGTTGATTGTCTACTCTGATGGAAATCAATGTGTCTTCAAATTTGCTATAATAGTAAATCTACCATTTCATCATTCATATTTTCACAAATGCACATATTTATTGTCCATTATGCTGTTCTGCATCTCTGCAATAGTATCATAATCTAACAAATGTAAGTTCTGTTCTTAGACATATGAAATAAAATGTGAAATTTCTAACAGTTTTCATAAATTAAAAGACATCAATAATTACAAACATGACTATCAAAATACTTATAGATTCAATGTATAATTGAATATATTTTTATAACAATGTGTGTCATTATTCCTAGTTTAGAGATGTAAAAAAGCTGAACCTTTAAATGATAAATTGTTTTATTGAAGCCCATTCAACTAATTAGCCCAATGTGGTGTGACTTCAAGTAGAATGTCTTATATCTCTGTTTTCTCAATTCTAGCCTAATTCTTCTTTTGATCTAAGTTTATTGAGAAATGCAAAGCAGTGAAAAGCTGCAAGTCCCTAACCTTACACTCAGAGGGCCAGTTTTCAGGTTAAGCCTCACTGGAATAAGGCATTTCTATCCACAGAAATACCTGACTGAATTATTGACTTAGCAATTTGCTACATTAAAAATAAACTTAACTTTTCCTCTTCTTTCACATCCTTTGATAAATATTTATAGCATATCAAAATCCGTTTGGATAGGCATCAATGTAAAGGAAACATTATTAAGAATTCTCAACTTTAAAATATATTTTATGTAAAATACAGCATGTTTTTGCATATTCTGCAGGAAAGCATGTAGCAAGATATGAATGCTATTACAGTAGCTAGATTACAGTAGTTAGAACTTAAGAGCTGCTTTACCTTGTTCAATAATTATACAGTTATTATGTTTGACTGAGGACTTTGGTATGGTCCTTTGGGCTTAATTTACTATTTTTTTCATATGTATCAAAGATCTCATTATATGAAGAAAAGAATGCAAAGGAAACATTGTTAAGAAATCTCAACTTAAATAAATTATGTTATGCAAAATCTGCCAAGTGTAGGTCCATCTGTCGGCCTGTTTATGCAGTTTCAACATAACTAGCATGAATTGGCCTCAACATTAAAGTCTACTGTCTGATATTTCTAACTCAAATATAAATTCATAACCATAAGTTTTTCAATTTGTAATCAATTTTTTTATTGCTGTCTTTGAAAATGATATGTTGTATCTATTACAAAATATTATCAAATAATAGCAATTAATAGATATATAATGACACACGAAGTAAAATATATAATTTTTCATAAATAAATACAATTAAGTGGTTGGAATGAATATGTGTCTCTAAAATGTTTCTATGTAGTTTCATTAAAATGCATTATTATTCAAAAATATTTCATAAACCATGGAAGTAGACACAATAAAATTTGTTTATAACTATAGAATTTTTAATGTCATCTTTTACAATAATTTAATTAGAAATATTAAAAACATACATTTTCATGTAAATGATAACAGGGCCTAATTTCTCATTGGAATAACAACAAATTATTCCTCAAAATTGTATGCTACTTATCTTTGCTTTTTTATTTGTAATATAGGTAAATAAGTAAAAAAATTGAAAAATTAGATATATATAAGTACAGTGTCAGCACTAGGTAATTTTATCCTAGATCAAATATGCTATTCTTGTATTAATTGAGTTTCTACTGAATTTCAAAACTTTACGTAATTTTCAGTTGCATCTGACTTTTTGTTTGACTTTTCCCTCATAAAATGAAGTCCAATAATAATATTTCATATTTTGAAATAATATGAATATCAACATTAAATACATTTCATAAAAATAATCTTGCTTTCATTTATAGCTTCTACATCCTAAAAAAACATAAAGGATGGTTTTTTTTGTTTGTTTGTTTGTTTGTTTGTTTTTTTGCAGAACCGAGGATTGAACTCAGGCCCTTGCACTTGCCAGGGAAGCTCTTATTCCACTGAGCCATCTCCCTGGCCCTGATATTAACAAACATTTTATAAATACTAGGATTTATTACACTCAACAAGTGTGTCATTTCTAACATATATTAGCAGATAGTATATATAATAAAATTATTTCCTCAAACATTGACCTAGCAATGTCATCTAATATTACTTTTATGTCCTTTTAAATAATATAAATTTTTTAAAGAAATGGTGCGTTTCATATATCAGAAGTAATGACATACAGAAACAAATGTAACTCCATTTTGTAACAACACACTGCAAAGAGTAATAAATCCTAAATACAGAAAATGGTATCTAGCTTTATGGTATAGCAAATCATATGTGAGGCCCTCGGCCACTTGGGATGTCTAGCTATCTAGTAGAGGAACAGCAGTCTTCCATAATTTCCAACTTCTATCATCACAGTTTCAAAGGGTGTAAAAGGTCAAAACCATTGCTAACGAACTCTTTACCCGAAACACTCACCCACTGTCAGCTGTCCTGTGAGCTGCCCCATGTGGTTTCTTGCATTCACTGTTACATTCCGGTCAGACTGTAAGATCAGTGGGCTGTCCTGGGAAACATGCACAAAATAAAGAAATCAAATGGAGAATATAAATGTAGTCAAACTCATATAAAATTACAGTGTTTGGCAAGGTATTATCAAAGCTATTTAAAGAATTAGGTAACTGTTTCCACATTTCAAATATCTGTTAAACAATGCTAAAATTTGGGTGGCTTGGAGTAATTATTTATTTTGATAGGAATGTTTTAATTTTCATGAGTGGGCAATAACTATTTGAAGCAGTGTTTTCAATTTTATTGATTGTGGTAGGCCAGAAGCATAGAGTCTGTCTCCTCCTCTCTCCCAGTGGTGCATATATTCCTGCCTGCACAGATCTCTAATGCATTTCCACTGGAGCAGCCCCCTCTAAAGCTTAACTTGCTGCTTTCAGACCTCCGTTTAAATGGCACCTTCTCAAACTCACCTCGTCGGGTCACGGCAACTGCAGACATACTCAGTCTCACTACCATACATAGTATCTAAGTATTTTAGTATATGCAATATACTAGCTGTACAAAACCTCTTTCCAAATTAGAATTCAGAATTTTATATTTTTATTTGTATGGAAACACTACATTTTTCAGAAGAATGTTTTAATCTCTTCTGATTAGGCAGAAAGAGCAAAGCAAAATACATGTACACACACACATGCACACAAACCTTTCATTTTAAAAGTGAATTTTGCTGGTGTGTACAAACTAAGACTGGATAGGATTTGGTATTCGACAGTAATTTTCTTTAGTTTGAAAAATATATTTATTCTTTTGAAACATAATACAGTTTCCTTATTGAAGCTTAGTTTTTTCTGTCTTAAGCATCTTTTCTGCATTTAAAACTATGTATTCCTATAGGTATATCCATGTTTCAGACACTCATCTTTATAATTTAAACATTATATTATGTCTCTAATTAAAATACCCAAATTCTTTGTGTGTGTGTGTGTGTGTGTGTGTGTGTGTGTGTGTGTGTGTAACCGGGGATTGAACTCAGGCCCTTGAGCTTGCCTGGCAAGTTCTTATTCTACTGAGCTATCTCCCTGGCCCGAAATGCCCAAATTCTGATTATAAACTAAGGACTAGTGACAAACATGTAGCATTGTTAGGTCACTTTCACCTATGATGATGACATGAAGAGAATTTTTAGCAGAGGCACACGCATGAGCACACATGCACACACACACACACACACACACACACAAATTGTGTTCAATGTTGATGAAGTTCAAACTAAGGAGCTCTAAATTAAATAAAAATAATTTGAATATAAAAATAGGATGCTACAAAGCAACTTGTAGCACAAAAATTGTGGAAAAAGAATACGGGATGAAATTTTATTCATGTTCTTTCAGTAATTATGATATATATGACTGTTAATTTAGATTTTAAAATTTATGATACAATTTCATTTAAATTACTACATATTTGAGCAGACATATCTGTAATTTTCAGCACAATAGAAGAGATTTTATATATGTAATTTTTCGATTATGTAACTATAGTAAAATATGATTGACTTACAAATACATTAAGATCAAGAAAAGTCAATTTGAAAAAGCAGTAGGTATTTTATCCAATTTAATGGAAATAATCTACATTTAAACTTAAAGCGCAATCCATGTGCATCTTTGTCTAAACATAGCAATGCACATGTAGTCTGCCCTTAGGGATCTCACTGAAGTTTTATCTCTTATATGCTCCTCTTCTATCTATATTATTCCACTAAATTTCATCTTAAAATTAAGTTTTATATAAATATTAAAATTATACTAAGATAGCAGTTGCAATCTCTTTACTCACTGAGACTAAAAACACAGAGTATCAGAGGTAATGAGCAATTCTCTTCACTGTTTTCATGGGTATAAAATTATATTGCAATGCTATATAGATTTGCTAAAATGTGATTGAGTGAACTGAATCAAAACTAATTAACTACTCTTGATAAACAAAATCAGTGGACATAAGAGCAACATTTTCATTAACAAACTATATCTCTTTTTTGTATTAATATCAACAATAATATCTTTGGGCATTAGAACTATTAAGTATGCATCTTAGTTTCAACACATGACATTTCATAGAAAACTTACTCAGTATTGATTAAAATGCACACATATGATAAAATATCTGTGGTGAAAATGATGGTCACTCTTCTAGCCATCTTATATTAATACAAATATAAGCAATGTCAGAGACCTGTACCAAAATATTTTAAGTGAGAAACTTCTAACCAATGTAAAATGACTGATATTTAAAAATATTTTCTCTAAAAGCAGGCCTCAAAGTATATTAGATTTTCTTTCTATTTTTCCTCCATTTTTCTCTGTGAGAGAAAATTTCTGCCAATATTATGTTTTTGCTTTTTGTTTTTGTTTTCTATAGAGTTAAGGTGATAACTCGGTGGCATAATTGCCTGCCTGGCAAGCGCATGGTCCTGAGTTAGATCCCCAGTCCAATATATATATGCATATAATATGCATAAATGTTTTTTCTATATTCCTTATGTATACGACTTTATTTTCTACTTCTGTGTGCTAGAACTTACATAGCTATTCTTTAGTTCCAAATATTGAAATATATAAGTGAGTAGCCTCATACAATTTATATTTTCTGAAAACACAAATGGTGGAACAGTATTTTTATTTTTTATTTTTTTGCTTTAAAAACAATAATTTATTATACTGTCTGAGGTACCTCAAATGCAGAGCTTTATCATGATCTCACACATATTTAAATATTGGCATTAAAGTTCATTGCAATTTCTTTAAAGTACCGTACTAGATGATAGAATTTTGTGACATTTTATTTTATTTTTGACTTTACAAATAAAATACATTAATGATTAAAGATATAACCAATATATTGTAACTACTGTTCATTTTTTTGATTTTTATTTTTT